TGTACATTTTCGATGTATTACATTTTTACTACGATAGTGGCAACAACAGTTTTATTTTTTCATTACAAACCATGAACATTGATATATATCATGTCAGAAGGTCGTAGCCTCAGTCTCGCTATCTACGAGATGAGACTTCAATGGGATCTTGACATGATGTCGCCATACAGTACTATGCGAGTTGCAAACCCCAAGTAATGTACCTCTGATAATATTTATATATATTAATAACTATTAAAATAAATGCAATATCTAAGTTCATAACATGCAAATATGTAAAGATAATGATTACAATCAAACGTCTAAAGTGACTCAACAATTTAAAACTAATTTCTACATCTCATCCTATTACAGGTCACTGCTATTCTATTTTACTATACCAAATCTCCTAACACACGCCAAATATATTCTCACAGTCCCAAGTTAAATTTACATGATTTGAGACACTCACGCTCAAATTCGATCATGATAATAAGAATATGCTTATGCCAAAATAAATGTTTTCCAATGACCGAGTTTTGACATTTTGATTGAGAAAATTCATATTTCATGCAATAAAAATTATATAATTTCTGTATGAGTTAAAAACAGAATTTTACTCGAATAAATAATGTATATAAGAGGTAATGATTGCCGGAATACATCATGAAAAGTTCGTATGCGAATCATGCTTACTGATTCAAAGAAAAAAACGAATCTGAAAAATGTGAATGTTGAAGTAACACTGCATGATCTCTACTTACTACACGTGTTTTCTTTGTTCCACAACAACACAAAATGACATGATTTGGTCTGTCGCATGCTTGTAGTGGTTTGCAGAGATGTGCCAAATATTAAATCTAGTTTCCAAGAGTGTTTACAAAGGTTTCCATTGTCATATAAACTTGTCATTAAACTTTTAAACTTTTATTGAATATTTAATGTGACGTTTGAGCTATAGATCACATCCATGCACATTGATTTACTGTACGTTCCTCATATCGGTACACACATAGAGCAGCTTGTTTTTATTGACTTCCAAACCCAAGTGTCCCCCATATGCCTTGTGCAGGATTAATTCTTGAGAAATGAGTTTTGAAGTAAATCACTAGCTCGTTATTCATGAAAGTTTCAAAAGTTAGGATAATGCAGGTGATCGAACAGAAACAAGTTTGGAAGTTTATTGCCATAGCAAAATTCATAATAAACGTTGTTTCTTTTTAAGTATCAGACTATATTCCACAAGTACTTGACACACGGATACTATGTCATTCATGACTTGTTAGGTAAGTTTTAAATCAAATCAAATGTATGCGAAAAATCATATATAACGCGTGAATACTTTTTTCAGATTGTGCCAGGGAGTACCTTCTTTGTTTTCTTACAGATTGACCTCTGTATGTGCATCTGAAATTCGCCTTGCGTGCCCACCTGTGTCTCGGATATGCCTATGCCTGGTCGATTGCATTACAACTTCAGACATACATCACACATCTTGGGATAGATATGCCCTGCCGCTCGTATCTGATTCAAGCTGTTTGAATCACAACATTTTAAAGCTTTTACATTCATCAAAATCAAGGATTTCTGCCAATATGGAGCTGTATCTCGGTCGTGTTTAATTAACGACCGACTCGCGGAAATTTTGTTTAAACAAATGCTGTTTTGAGCTATAAAACAGAAATGCCTTGATGTTCAAACTTTATAGATACGTCATAGATATTTGTTTGACGATCAGATTTAAAATGGCCGAATTGCGTCCATTTTAATGTTCAACATTATAACAAATCACACACTGTTAATTTCAAAATCCTTATAAGATTTCAAAACATTAGTAGTATCTCCATTGAGAATGAAATCCAGGTCATACTAATAAGTCGTGGTCAGTGAAATAGGTGCACTATATACACAATACACAAATATAGTTATCTAAAATTTTAAAATTTCTCAATAAAACTGAAGTTTAGATATGAATTCGCTTATGTAACATATCTTACCGACCTGAATTGTGCATCACGTGGGATCATTTTGACCATACACAATAAACAGAGATAGTGAAACCAAGGAACAATAAAGACACAATTGTTTCCATGCAGGGGCACATAAGGGTTCATAATGTTTTTTTAAGTGACAAACATTGACTAATCGCAATCGTTAATCAACAACTACATTATACATCATTTAATTTATTTAATGTTGTGATTCAAAATTTTGTTTATCATTTAACTAACGGGACCTTTTTTTAATTATGTTGTGTTTTATTCTCATGAAAAAAAATTGGTTGCGACTGTAGTCATGAACACAACATGGGTAGATTGCATAATGAAGTGAAATGATGCAATACATAATAGTTATATACTGAATGCGTCTATCAATTTAGTGGTATTTAAAACCACACAAACAGTTTCTACAGGTACCTACTAAAAAATGTATGTGTTGAACCAGATTCGATATAATTGTTTTCAGCAACTAAGAAATTATTGTCCTCATGGGCCCAGTTTTTTCAGCGACGGACCCGGCCCTGTAACATAGAGTCATGAGGGCTTTGTTGAGGAATCGTTATACTGCAATCAGTGTCTTATAAATGTACCATATTTTATTGAACAAATAATGAAGATAAGTGATACATTGTTGCATTGTTAAACGAATCGTCATATAATACATGTTTGGCTAAATGATCATATTAATAATAACTGATCAACTGGTCTGGAATGTAATAGTTAATATAAGGCAAAACAGAGTATAGAGTTTGCAGGTGTATAGGAAAACCGTGCAATATCGATATGTGCAATAAATATATACGAATCAATTCACAATTACAAAACTATAAATAGCATATAAAATGAAACCATAATGGTGTATTTATTGTGTTCCTAAAAATGTATATGAATATGTTGACGGTTCTATTAAACATCTAAAAGCAGTGCAGTATACAAAAGAGCAGTGTAACTTGTCATACACAACTTTGAGCGCAATATTTTCGTATTTTTTTCCCGTCATATAGTGTTAAAAACCAAAAATTAAATTGAATTAGTTTAATATCACAGTTACTTCATTATACGGTAGTTTATTTAACTTGTAAAAATGGGTTGGTTAATATTAGTCGATGCGGTATACCCACGATTCTCTCATAAACCGTCATTACCTTGAAACAAATCAAAAAATCACATTGTAAAAAAAAATCATTGGCTATTTCTGAATACATGATTATAACAAAACAATTATACATTGGCCAATATACAAATAGTAAATGTGTTATAGTACCACACACACAGATTGATGATGACTGTTGTTATATCTTGGATATATTTTGGATTATTTTCCGGCTAATTGATATAACATTCTATAACATCACCCGAAGTATATACTTCATAAAAATATATATATGACTTGAACCGAGATGAACTAATCCCCCCATTGCTATAGGTGGATAAGAAAAACGATTGGATATACGTACCATAATTTCAATAAAAATGGTATGTTTCCGATTCAATAAGTGTAAATATTTATATGTTAACTCATTTTGAATTCATAGTTAATATATAATATATGCTACTCAAAACAATTTAAGGAGCACTTGAATATTGTCAATAGTTATATAGTTACAGCAAGATCTTTTATTTGGTCACATAATTGACGTAAAATATCTGCACAATAAAACAGATGTAACATTTCGTTACATGAGTTCTGAAACAGAGGAGGGTTGAAAAAAAAATCCTGGTTAATGAAACATTTCAATAATGGGTATGACAACCTCTTGCAGTAACACATGTTGCCTCATGGATGTCACTAATTTATGCAGTGAACTTTATGGTATCGCTTGTCGCTCCTGAACCAGCCATTGAGCTAGCTGACGACGATCCACTGGTGGGGGATGATTGTCCATAACACAAAGACCAAGTTGATCCCATAAATGTTCAATTGGTGCCACGTGAAGTGAATAAGCAGGCCAATCCATTCTGTTGATATTGTAAGACTGCCGCAGCTCATATCCTCTGTAAACAGGGTAACACAATAGGTCGCAGGATCTCGTTTCTGTAACGTATACCAGTTAAGTTGCCATCAATAACATGGAGAGGGTTCCTTTGGTGGTAGCTGAAGCCATTCAATACCATGATGCTGTCTGATGGTGGCATCAGTGAAGCGTTCACCAGGGCGTCTATAGACAGGAATACGGCCATCATTGTTCCTCAAAGTGAATCTTGACTCTGAAAAGACGACAGAAGACCACCGCCGACGTGTCGTGTCGTTCTGCGGCGTGGGAGAAGGACTGGCCTAAAAGCCTGGCGCCTAGGCCTGACATTTCTGGCCC